ATCGCGTCATGTAACTGACGCTAAAGGGTGCCTAAAGCGTCAAATATTGAAGCATGGTCAAAATGATTCCCAAGGCGATAGTTTCATGACGCCTAGGGATGAGAATGGGCTGGATAAATGCCTTTACTGTCACTTTTGATCAATTTATTGAATCCTTGTTTAATAGGAGTATTAAATTATTTAAATTAATTACTGACCCCCAACTTTTGAATGGCATGTAATCTTGTAATACATATTCCAGCTAACTATTCAACTATTCTTTTGACTGAAACAAATGTTACTGGTCTCAAAGTGAAGAAGAGAGCAGGAAAGACTGCAGGGAGAACTCTCTCTATTACACATTTACTGTGATAAGACCTATTAAAACAGATGACGCTGGGGTGGTGGATGGCCGTACCGAGGGAGAGTCGGCAATTACGATGCCCAGTGACTTCAATTGGAGCATGGCATGTTCTCACTGACAGATACAGCATCTGCAGCAGCAATGCCTGGATGAGAACAATGACCACTCTATATCACAGAAGTGCTCATTCCAGGACACAAAACAGAAGCTCATCTGTACTTGAGCACTTCAACAGAGATCAGAGAACTGAGAAACTCCCCAGTCCTCTTTATTTGCCACCTCCTCCCTCACACACAGGCCCATCCATTCTCATATGGCCATATCTCAACGAGACCCCCATAACCCAACAGATGTGGAGGTCCTTGACCTTTATTACCCTCTGACAAAGACACCTGACCTTGTGGTCTTTGACCTTCCCAGTGACTATACCCCTCTCTATTTGATCAGACTTTTTTTATTGCCTCTTCCAGTGAACGGTTGAACTGCTAAAGGCACTCATGACCTGGATGTGTGCAGTTCAGGGTTAAGTAAGTACACACTCTCTCTTGTGGATGAATGAGTCTTTTAAACATATGTCAGTTTAGATTCACTTGGCTTCAGTTAAAACTTCTCTTTTGTAAGCACATCATCCTGACTGCCTGAGCTCATGGCTTCAATGCTCTTGCTCTCTATAGGATCATTTTTCAGCAGCTGGACAGAAATGTACTTCCAGCTCCCATACTAATCTAATTTAATCTCACATTAACACAGAGTTTCATAGCGCTGTGGATGCATCTCATTCTCACTTCATCCGTGATCCATGAAAGGATTACTGGGTCACTTTTGCTTTCTAGAAGTGTCTAGCTACCACTTATGAAATGTGAATATAGAAAGAAGCATTATGATATTGTAAAATTTTATTTAAAGCAAAACTGTATAATTATTTAAATTTTAAAATGCAGGGGTAATCATAAAACCTGTTTTAAAACAGCCATTTGTTGCCTTCCTGAGCTAATTTCTATTCATTTTGGCAGTTTAAAAATAGTCATTCTGTTATATTAAATAAATAATTTGACTTGATTAAAACAAGTTTAATTAAATACCTTTTAAGGGTAATTGACAAAGCATTTCGTTTTCAGCAATGAGTCATTCAAACACTTCACAACATGAACAAATTAATCAAGTGGACTAGCTACAAGTTTGCCAGTTGAAGAAATAGGTTTATTGATCGGAGCTGAATCACAGGTCCTAACCTTGACATTCCCGAAGCAAAGCGGCATGGAAAGCATTACTTTTTGAGGCACAGAATCTCCCTTATTTCCTTCATATTCATGGGAGTAAACAGCATGCAGTGCAGCAACAGATATGATTGAGACATACAAAGTTCTGTCATGAAACTCATATGGTGCAGGCTAACAGGTTCTTAACTCAAACTGCTTGCAATCATATCAGTAGCCAATGAGCTTGCATGCTCAACCTTCAAATACTTGGTTAGCATTTGCCTTAGCATTGCAGTGCGCTTTCAAAAACCCTCCACTTCCCCAGTTCCACCTGTATAGATCTGCTATGGGTAATGTATATGCTAGTAGAAAGCGGCAGGATGTCTTGCTCACAGCAGCGTGTTTGTGTATGTATTGGCAATATATGAGCAGCAATAACAGCAGCAGCAGCGTAGCAGATCTATTCCTACAAAAGTATTTTGACTATTTTCTCTCTTAAAAATGGCACATAATGATAATAAAAACAGCGCTGAGCAATTCAATGGCCAAAGATGATTGACACATTTGTATAGAAAAGAATAATAATGATAATAGAGCACCCTGCATATTCTAGTAGAAAAAATACACAAAAATCTCAATTTACCATTTTTAATGCTGAATTTTAACTTCCAATTAAAAGCCCATGTTAAGATCATGTTACACTAAGACTATACCATTCCAAAGTTTGGAGTCAGTATGTTTTTTTTAATTAAATGAATAGTTTTATTTGGCAAGGGTGCATTAAATTGATCAAAAGTGACATGAAAAACATTAATAATGTTACAAAAGATTTATATTTTAAATAAACTCTGTTCTCATCAAAGAATCCTGAAAAAAAGCATCACGGTTTCCACAAAAATATTATATTTGCAGCACAGCTGTTTTAAGCATTTATAATAATAAGAAATGTTTCTTGAGCACCAAATCAACATAATATGATTTCTGAAGGAGTGAGGACTAATGTAGAGTAATAACTGCTGAAAAATCATCGTTGCCATCACAGGAACAAATACATTTAAATTGAAAATATATTAAAATAAATTATTTTAAATTGTAATATGTCACAATATTACTGTACTATATTCTTAACCACATGAATGAAGCCTTGGGTAGCATAAGAGACTTTTGAACAGTAGTGAATGCATATTACTTATCGAGGTTAGCTGTTCTGTTGCTACACATTTTGTAATATTTTGGGTATAAGAAAATCCCATTAATAATTGGATGTATTTTTTTAAGGCATGTTGGTTTATTTTTCATGTCACCAAAGAATGAAGTGCCCCACGTGGGCCACGCATGGGCCAAAATAATCTGGACACACCTCTACCCAGCGGTATGAGTCCACTCGATCCCTCAACCTCATCTGCTTCTGAAAGCATCGGGATATTGTGAATGTTTTATGAGGCTGGGTGGATATAGCACACGCCCTCATTCCAGTAGATTGTGAAGCTATATTTACATGAATTATTTTATAAAAAATTCTAGGTCATAAGTCTGCCAAAATCAGAGTCTGCCAGATTCAGCACCATCGTGTCCACTTGAGTACTACTCTGTTTTTGTTCTTTCTCAGTCTCTCACTGTTTCACATTTTTCGGTTCTAGCCGCACACCTGAGCACACTGATGGGGCTGCTGCGGGCCAGCATTAGCAGTCCATGGTGTACTTTTCCACAGTGCTTGACTGAGCTTTAATTTGCTGGCGCTGCTCGGTCTGTCACTATCAGGTTTAACCCCTGGCCATGACTGTCCCCAGCCTCCAAAACGCCTCTGAAATGCTCACTCTCACTACAAGCGTCACCAATAAACCTGAGTCATTGACCATTTATACACTACCTTTATTGCTTTGCCCAAATTACCTTGCCAGTTTTCAAAATGCAGCTGGACTAAAATCAAGATTCATCTACAATGCGAAAGACCGGTCAAGTTCAGTTTATGGTCAAGCGTTTAGATCTAACTTCGATACATTACTTCTGGTGCTTCAGATAGCATGAAAGAGGCAGGCAGAGATTAAAGAGCTCAAAGCGCTAACTGAGAGCACAGGGAAAACTGAGCGAAGAACAAAACTCAAAGAGGAAACCCACTGAAAAACACAGTGCAAAATGCATTGTGTAAAACATGCCTGAAATTATTCATTGTGTAAAACATGCCTGAAATAATTCAGTCGGTTCTCAGAATAAGGACAGCTTTTCTGAAGTACTGCAGATTCAACTGATAAGAACAGAATAAAACCCCGATACATGAGCGAGAATTTCATGCCATAAGGCTGAGTCACACAACAAGGCAGTTAGTATTGGGGGATACTGACCTTGGTCTGCTTTTGTGTATGATCAGAATTTATGAACTGTAGCAGTTTGTTCAGACTCGGGTCTGCATTCTTTACAACATGTTGCTGAAGACAACTTAATTGCAAATGCCTTTATTGTTTTCCTTTATTACTTCCTGAATACTATTTCAAGGCTACTGTACAAAAATATCTCTGTACAAAAATATCTCTCTCTATACAGATCAAATTCTATTTAAACATGTAGCCTACTTTATTTTTGAAAGTAAATTTCTTTAAGCTATATAGCTGAAATTCTTGGCTATAAAAAAACTATTGAATATTGTAACAATTATAGTTCACAATCAATTATTGTTACAGGATTTTTAGATAAATTAAACTATTATGAAACAAAACAATACAATTTTATTTAGGCAAATTTAAACCATGTGTGACAACTTGCCCCGGTAATAATAACAATGTGACAACTTGTCAAGTTTTGCACAAGGTGTCTGAAACCAGCATACAAAACCATTGCAAGGCAAACCACACATTAGTGTAATTGGATGTTGTCACAGAAGGACGTTTTGAGGCAAATGTTGAGGCAAATTTGCCTCAAAACGTCCTTCTGTGACAACTAGCCCCGGTCTCCCCTCCACATTTGTAAGTAACGTTAGTCTTTAATTCAACACAGAACGTTTGAGTGTTACAATTGCACCAAGTCTCCCTTATAATAACACTTCTGGTATAACAGTCTTCCTCAAAGAATAGCCTAATTTAGGTTGACTTTGGCCAGTCGTTTGCACAGGTGTTTAAGGTAAGACGACACATGCCTGTCTATCAGCCGTATATGATTTCAATTAGGGTCTTCACTCCCGTGTAAACAAAACGCCGCCACTATCCGTTTACACCAGTCCGCCACATTATTCTACAATAAACGTCTTTATTCCATATTGGCATCCTAATAACTGCAGTGTGACACAGAAATATAACCAAAATAATAATTCCGCTAGACTGGGACAGAATTCTCAGAGCAGACTATTTCACAACGCGTGTCGTCCTAAAATAGTACCTCGAAAAACCAAACAGAAATTTACAGGAAATATAAATAAAATTGTTAAGTGAATAATTACGGTTTGGTTTTTAAACGCGCTTTCTTACCTTTGTAAAACAGCTTTGAATGAGGACGTGCACGCGTCTCTCTTCCTCCTCCGGTGACGCTGCTGATGCTGCGTAACGGCCACTGGCCTTTTCTATAGCCTAATGTTACGATTTTTTTTCTCTCTCTTTACCAAGCAACTGCAACCTCCGTCGCAATAAGGATGTTGTCGTCTGCACGACACGATCCCTCTTCCTCACTATATCTCTATCTTCCTTTCATGATAGCCTAAATCATTCCCCTCCCACTCCCTCTCCCTATATCCTCTCCCCTCCCCTGCCTCTCGCGCTGTTTGATTCAAATAATGGAATAGGATTAATGCAAAGCAAGTAAATAAACCTCTTTTTTATTTTAATACACAGTGAAGGTACACAAAGAGGGTAGAATGTTTCCCAAAGGAGGTATGTGTACCCTTCCCCCACCCCTTCACACCTCTCTAATCAATCCCCGATGGCACAATATGCATAACAATCTGTGTTCAGAATGTTATTTATTCCCCTTCCCCACTGATTCATAAAGATGCATAAATAAAGTGTGAATAATCTTACACAACCCTGCTGCATACAAATAAATTGTTCTCTGAAAAAAGTGAACATTTATGCAACACAGGCTACTCATTTTACTCGAAAGGACTGAAAATAGTTTGTTCCTTTCGACAGAAAAATCACAAATGAGGTTTCAACATCTCAATCAACCTGATATCTTACGAAGTACTGACTTTGTATAGCCTTTGATGTAGGCTACTGTTGGCTAATTTGTATGGTTAAAAATTGAGTGAGATCATACGAAAATATTAGAATTCATAAGAATTAGGAATATGGTGACATAAGCTAAATTTCACGAACAACAGAGTTCCATTGTCAATAACGCTGCGATGTATGAAGCAATCACTTTCAACCCATTGCAAAATCTCTATTAGCAAAACTCCCTATGTGGATTCTTGACTGGATTTTGCCGGTAAAGTTTTGCAGAGCAGTGGTTAATGTGACCTCACTTTTCTTTCTTTCTTTTTTGTGTGTGGCAAAAACCAATTACCCAATTTTGAACCAATTTTCCAAAACTGAAAGGCTCTTTGGGGGAACCAAAATAGTTTGCATGGCATTGCTGTGAAAAAAAAAAAAAAAAAAAAAAAAAAAAAAAAAACCTGTTGGAACCTTTATTTTTAAGAGTGAACAATAAGATCAAATTATACATTCATTTTAGTTCTCGACATACTGGAGAAACATCTGAAAAAAAGTGTCTGCTTTCATGAAACATTAGTTATAGCTAATGAGCAATGAAAGAGCTACATCCAAGCAATAAAATTCTCCTTTGAGATTTTCTTCACCTTTTTATTGGTAATACTTGTAAACACAAGAGATCTGTTAAAAAAAAAAAACAAGTTGGAAAAATTTATGGCCATGGCTTTGAGAGAAAATTTCTTTTGAAGAACTTTTGTTGTGGCTTAATATTCAAAACTTAAGTCTGAAAAGCCAAATGTCATTCATTTAATTAAATGCCAAAGGATGTTTTCTTTAGAAAAGAACAAAGAGCATAATGCATATTACATTCATTTTTTTTCTTTCTTTTATAATTGGTTTGAAAAATTGGACAGTGGAGCACAAATATACAGACATAATTAGAGACAGGCACAAGTTGTTAAATGGCCTAATCCAGTAATAAACTAATCTTGAAATTGAAGTCCATGTGAAGGACAGAAAAACACAGAATTCAATGAGAGATGTTTTGGCACAGATGAAGACAAAGAGATTTGTTAATTGATTTTGTTGTCTCAGCATGAAGTCATGAAAGGAGAGATTAAATATCTGTCGGGCCGTGGCAAATGATGCTCGAGCATGATGGTTTTAAATGAATTTATTCTACAAGATTCCAGGAAGTTCCAGACTCCTCATTCTCCCCGGGCTCTCTTGTACACGGACAAGAGGATGCGATCATTTTTCAGTGCCCTTGTCCCCTGAGACCGACACTGGCCGTCTAAGCCGGACCTCGTCAGGCTGGTATAACTTAAGAACCTTGCCCCTGATTGACTGCTTGCGCCGGTCCCTGCTGTCGTATTAATTTTCATTGTGACTGCTGGAGCCTCTACAAATCTCATCAATGCTGTCACAGACTGTGACGGCGTGCATGTGATTCAGGCCCTGAGCCCGTGTGTGCGTTCGCCTGCCTGATGTGACACGTATTCTGATTCTCTTTGTTCAGGCCATGTAATGAATAGCTATTGATGTCAGAAGAAAACCTGTCACTCTGTGTATGTTTGCGTGTTGCTGAAAGAACAGAAAAGGCGGAGATCTGAATGGCCAAAATGAAAACTTGAGTATAACACTAGGACTATAGTGAGATTATAAATACTTTATCTTGTCTTAAAGATGCACAAAGTATTTTTTTCACTTTCAAACCTAATTTTGACCAATAAGGTTAAAATTGCATTTTTATTAAAGCACAAAAATGATAACTTTTTATTGAAATCACATGACTGGCCAAATACAACTCCTTTTTATGGACAATTTATTTAACTTTTTTTTTTTAAATTTATTGGACACTCCAAGCTAACAAAAAAATGTTCTAAGAATGTTTTGCTAATGTTTATTAATTTATGAAAACATTATTTCTGAATGTTCTCTGGGCATTCAAAAATTATGTTTTTGTGCTGACGTTTTGAGAACATTATTAAAGACCAGGTAACTTTGAACATTCTTTGTTCAAAACTTTGAGGGAACCTTGCCAGAACGTTGCCTATTTGCTGGGCTTTTAGTGCAAGGCACATTAAATGAATCATGGGTGACAAATATACCTTCAATTGCACTGAAAATGTTTTCTTTAGCATGATGCTTCATCCATGCAGAAAGTTGACTCGTATCCATGAACAAAAAATAAATAAATAAATAAATAAAGACTTACAAAGCATGTCGACTACATGAACTGAATATTATGCTATAGTGTTTCTGTCTGGTCATTCCAGGCTTACTGTATCGGCTGGCTCCGAACCCTCTGTCTGTAGGCAAGATGAGCTCCATCTGTTGCTCTCAGAAGGATCAATAGTTGTGATTTCTAATGATGTCTAAAAGCTCTAGGTAACTTGAGCATTCTGCCCTAAGCCCCACTGCTTGCCTTCAACTGCCACTGAAGAACAACCCTTGTGCCCATGCAGAGGTCACCCAATCTCTCTTCTGGACTGATCAAATGCACAGTTCTGATTGTGTAGCGCTAAAATGGGAGATTAGAGAGTAACTTCTAATGTACAGTACATTGGCATGTCCACATCATGAATGTCTTATAAATTCAAATTTTATTTTATATCAGTATCACAATTAAGTAAATATGGGTTTTTTGAATTTTAAATAATTTACCCAAGTGTAAACTCCTTTTCAGGTGTAGGCCTGTGTTATGTGTTACGCTCTTATTTTGATATTCTGTTTCATTTCCTTTAGTTCCCATTTCCCTGGAGTGTTTAGTTGCAGTTTTTTTGGTTATGTCCTCATTTGTAGCTATACCCTCCTATTATATCACCTGTGTGTCGTTATGTTTGCCAAGAATAATCCGGTTTCAGTTCAGTTCTTTGGTCGGTTCGGATGTTGGTTCTGTGATAGGTGTGTTCGGCTCGAAGCGGCGCTGCGCAGACTGATTGGTGTATGGCATCAAAGTTCCACAAGAGCAATTCTCAAGCACACAGAGCCATCTACTCTCTAATCGTATTTTGGCTAGTTCACACTCTCAGCCCAAATCCAATTATTTGTGTATCCGATTGGAATCTGAATAAAAAATGATTGACTGTCCACATTGTGTATCGCAACTCTTCAGAACCGATTTGTGTGTTTAGAACCGTAGGAGGCTGGTATGAGCGGCTTTATTCTGTGCTGTCGTCTCCGCCAGTTTCAAAACATGTCTCCGTTATATTGTCATTTTCTGTTTGTCCGGCACTTTGCAACATCACAACCTTATTTCTGCAGCGACTTTCAGATTGTTTGCTATAACAATGTCTGACATTTACGTTTTACGTGGCGTGAGAGAGTCACATAAACCACGTGAAATCTGATCAGAGCAGTCATATTTAATCGGATTTCCAGAAATGCAATTTGAATAGGATTTGAAATGAATGCAGCTCGAAGCGAATTTGAAAAAAAAAGAAGGCATTTCATGTTATTTTTTGCTGTTCATACTAGCTAAATCTCATCGGATTTCAATCGAATATGCACAAAAATCTGTTTTTGACTGACAGTCTGAACATAGTCTTTGATTTTATACAGTGAATGATCTGCGCAGCGTCTCTTCAAGTCGAACACATCTAATGTCCCAATTGCGTTTCTCCTGAATTCTCCTGAGTGTAACTCGAATGCTAAATAAAGTCTGTTTGTTTGGCTACATCTACGTCTCTCTGTGCGTGCTGCAAGTCAACCCATGACACTAATATGCACATTTCCATTTCAAATAAATATTCCAGGTGTTTCTTAATTTTTTTCTTCCTCTTTCTCTAATTCCTGTTAATTCTCTCAGCAATGTGCAAACAATCAAGTCAACAATGAAGTCTGGCATATTCATTTATTGAAAAACCTCCTTAAATTACACTAAACATGTTCATCTTTTGAGTTACAGAGTTACTGCACTGTCTTGAAGCCTGAATGTTTGATTCTTGTCAAAATTCTTGAAAAATGAAAAACTTTTAATTTGTAACCTATTGCGATGTAAATTTTGAATGTGCATGATTATGATGCATCAGCCAATGTGTTATTATAGGAAATAAATAAAAACATTTGCTAATTTAGTTGTTATAACACAAAATATTAAATATTAAAAGAGGGGTAAGATGGCCCTATCAGTTGTCCCCCTATACCTGGATGAACTGTATTATTTTATATAATATATATTTAATATAATAAATCAACTATTCAATTAAAAAAATGTATTTAGACAATTTAGTTGAATAATTAAATAACCGATGACAGACAAAGCAGAATCCCAGTAAAACAGATTTATCTGAAAGGTAAATTTATTATATGACTCATATACAGGCATATAAATATTTACATATATTGCCCATATTTTAATTGAAGATGTGTCATAATAGAAACACAGTGAAA